GCCACTTCACCTTCAGTATGCGGCGTAGGCAGCTGAGATGAAAGTGGTTCAGCTTCCGCGCTTGACCGGCGTAGACAGTCCAGGTCTCTGCTCCGTACAAGAGGGTTGAGAGCACAACAGCCTTGTACATCTTCAATTTCGTTGACAATTGAAGACCATGACGATTCCATTTGGAGGCTTGGAGCCGGCCGAAGGCTTGGCTGGCTTTGGAGATTCTGCGGGCAATCTCGTCATCGATTCGAGTGTTGCGTGAGAGCGTGCTGCCAAGATAGGTGAAGTTGTCCACATTCTGCAGTTCGGTGCCGTTGACGTTGATGCGTGCGGGGTTGAAGTCAACACCTAGCGGCGGTTGATGCATAACCACCGTTTTGTCCGTGTTGATGGTGAGGCCAAAGTTGGCACAGCCTGCTGCGAAGAGGTCCAAGCTCCTTTGCATGGCCGCTTCTGTTGTGATGTTGAGAGCGCAGTCTTCCACAAACAGCAGATCATGGACTGTGGTTGTGGAGACACGCGTGGGGGCCTGCATCCAACGAATATTGAGGAGGTTTCCGTCCGTCCTGTAGTTGATGGAGATTTCGGGACGCTCGTCACGGTAGGCGTCCATCAGCATGGCAGAGAACATGAGACTGGAGAGGGTGGGTGCGAGGACACAGCCCTGCTTCACTCCATTGGTCACTGCGAAGGCTTCAGACAGCGTCCCGTAGTCCGTGACGTGCGCCATCACCCCGTCAGGGAGTTGTCGTACCATGTGGGTGAAGTTCTCCGGACAACCAAACTTCTGCATAACTTTCCAAAGTCTGAGGCGGTTCACCGTGTCGAAGGCTTTTGTCAGGTCCGCAAAGGTAGTGTAGAGGTGAGTCCGCATCTCCTGACATTTCTCCTGCAGCTGACCTGCGGCAAATATCATTTCAGTGGTGCCGCGGTGACGTCAAAAACCACACTGGCCTTCAGACAGGTGCCCTTGTTCCAGGTGGTTATTCAGACGATTGAGGAGAATGCGAGCGAAGATTTTGCCGGCAATATTCAACAGCGAGATACCGCGATGGTTGTCACAGACTTGACGGTTCCCCTTTCGCTTGTAGAGGTGGACAATTGTGGCGTCCTTGAAATCCTGGGGAAGTTGTCCCTGTCGCCACATCTCTTGGAACAGGGTGGTGAGGTGAGATATGAGTTGTGGCCACCATATTTGTAGATCTCCGCCGGGATCCCGTCGGACCCGGGTGCC